TGCAGCCGGACAGCAGCATGGAGGGATTGGTTTTTATTTCAAAAGACAGTAAGACAATTTTTCAATTTAGTATCAAAACACTTGATAGGGTTCTTTTTCTCCCGCTCGGCGCCTAAAACTGCTACGACCAAGTAGCATGCTCGAGCACAAGCTACACGCTGCGAGCCTGACACATCTCCACACTCACGCCTCACAACAACTACACATCAGCGATGCACAGCAAGATGGCTTGTACCTTAAGACACTAATAGCACTCCTGGGCAGGAGGGGTGGCCTCGGTTCCCTCCCTCAGGATAGGCAAAAAAAAAACTTCCTCAAGAAAACAAGGCTGTGGTACTTAAGCTGTTAAGTGTAACCCAGCAACGAGAGATAAAGCTTGGTGTGGCAGCACTTAGTGAAGGCGAATTCAGCCCCTGTGTAGCAATGGGTTAGAGGCCACGGCTTCTCTAAGCCTACCAGGAAAGGAAGTGGCCAACAGTGGCCGGGAAGGGAAATAACCCCTGTGAAGGTTCAATTGTTCAGGTAATAGGCTTGGCTTTAAAAAAAAAAAAGTCTCCTTTTTGCCCAAGTTACTTCTCCTCAACGCAGAGTTAGCTTAAAGCTGAGAAACTGAACTGCTCTTTTGACAAACAGCTCGTGGAAAGGACATTTTCCCCACAGGCTTCCATCCCTAGCCCAGCTGGTCTGATTCAGTGGCCCGCAGCCAGGAACCGTCACATTCTTTCCTCCCCTGCCAAAGCAGGGTGGTCCAGAGCTGATTAACAGAAGGTTAATACAGATTTTTAAAGCCAAGAGCTTTGAAGTGTATCTCACCAGCCTCGGAGTTATTTGGAATGTTTACAATGGTTGCTACAAAAAAATGGTAGTTACAAAATGTATACATCTCAAACATGCTCCCGAAACATTATTGCATTGTTTATTTCCCTTAATAATGCTGTTTGAAGCTCTGCCCAACCTGATGGCCTTTAACCCCAAGGCAAAGGAGATTTGTGTTTGGTCAAGTTGGCAACAGAAAGTAAACTCTGGTCCCCAAGGGTTAGAGGTCAGCAGCAGCTGGGCTGGCCCCCCCAGGCATTGTGTGGCGGAGGCAGTGGCAGGGATCCATTACATCTCGTTCAGGTCTAGCAGGGTCTGGTCCAGCATTCTTTGCGTGCAGAGATGCTCCTCTTTGGTGGATTTCAGTTTATCTGGCAGGAAGCAAGAGTCAAGAGTTACAAGTCAGCTTCAGACAACTGAGAAACCTTTGCCAAAGAAAGCTTGCGCTAGCCCCTTCCCAGCACACTGCTGCAGCAAGTCCTCAGACCAGAGGTGCCTGGCTGGGTGCAGCTAGAAGCTCTGAAGTTACCTGGCTCATTTGTAGCCCTGGCCCCTCGCATTGCCGGTGCTCCCAGTCGGCATGGTCACGCTGTACTTTTAGCCAGTGCTCTAGGCAGTGTTTTGCATGCAGGTGCTTCCGAACTGTAGCTAGCTTTCCCCAGGGCTTCAACACTTCCAGACAGCAGACCCCCGTGGCCCAGCAAGCCACCCAAGAGCAACGCGGAGGTAAATCACTTTGAAATCACCCCCCTGGAATTACAGCTGATTGTGGCCCACCCCCCCACACCCCCTTCCCGCCAGCAGAGGACAGAGATGCCAAGCTGGTCACGAAGACCATAACTACCTAGCAGCAGGGAGCAGACAACCATGCCTCAAGGACAGCAGGGAAGAAGCTGTTTTCAGTGGAGGGCAGGCAGGGAGCAAGTAGGAGCTAGGGTGCTGCAACTCTGCCCAACACTACAGGCAGCCGCACAGTTGATTCTCACATGTTCCTTAAGCCAGGAGGAGAGCTCAGATCAGCAACTAGCGCTCTAGGTAGGCTTTACTCCAAAGGTGAGCCCACCCTTATCACTGAAGAAATCCACACGCTGGGACACTGGACAGACAGGCTGTAGAAAGATGTCCTTTAGGTACAGGCAGTTTCTCAAAGCCGCTCCCCAACCTCCCCACGGTCAGGAACCGTGCACAGAGCGAGAAGCAGCCTTCCTAGAGCACTAGCAACTGCAGTGTTTAAAGATTCCCTGCAGGCAGTCAAGACACAGCTTCATGCTGTGGATTTTGGGACTTGCTTTCAAGATGTCCATGAGCTTTCCCAACCCATTCTGGGGCTCTGCAGCTGCACTAGGGTCAGGCCCTGGGAATGACCACGTCCCCCAAACCTTATAGGTTAGGACTCAACTATATAGGAAAGTACTACAGGTGTGCAGCATCTTAGACACCACAAGCTCAGTCATTTATTGTTAGAAGCCATCATTCCATGCAGCAGGAAATCCTACAGTCATTCAGCTAACAGTAAACTAAGTCATAGCTCTTGACAGGCATCTTTCAGCAGACTTAAGCCTAACTTCACCCCACCCCTCTCTTGGTGGGTGCAACCATTCTGGTTCCATGGAGGAGCCAGGCAGGACCCCCTGGACAAGTGAACAAGACTGCTCAAAAACCTGCCAAGTCTGAGGGTTACTTCACCAAGAATAGAGGTTACCTTTATTAAAAAAAAAAATACACCACACCACTCAAATTAGAGAATAAATTCAAGTGCCCCATTAAATAGCAGCAACTGCATAAAATTTGCAAGTCTGCCAGTCTTAAGAATAATCAGATTTCACTGTGGTCCACAGCATTGGTGGTCGCAACAAGCTTGTTTAATGGCATTAGTGGGCCCCCTTCTCAGTCACACAGATCATGCAGCGTTAACTTCAGCTCGTTAGAGAGCAGGCGATTTTTCTCAAGCTGGCTGTACAGGCGCTCTGCAGCAGCAACAGGATTAGGGGAAACAAGAGGAAGAGACAAAAAGAGAGAAAGGGAAGGTTAGTAGAGTACCAAGATAGGCACATCAAATAAGCTGTCTCCATAACATGTGCCTCTGAGGATCAAGTCTAGGCTATTACACAGATGAAGCCAGGGAAGACAAAGGTTTGTCTTACTCTAAATTGTGTTTCAGCTCAGGAAGATCAGAGGAAACCAAGTGCAGGCAGAAATGGAAGTGCTGCCAAGGACTTGCAAAGGCAAAGAAAGGAAGAAGAAAACCCCAGAAGAGGAGCCTGCTGGCTGGGCTATACCGAGGTACAGAGAGAGACTTGGGATGAGCTTTAAGCCTGTGGAGCACTTTGCAGAAAGAAGTTGTCCTACCACAGAAGCACCTTCCAGAGTGAGCCACACCACACAGCAGTGGGATTGGTGGGGTTTTAACAGTAGGACAGGGACACCAGAAGAACAGAGAACAACAGCATCTCATACCTAACCTGGAGGACGCTCCTCCGAGGCCCTGCCTTTGTGCCACACTAACAACCCACCACATCTAGGCACGGACTGAAGACTTCAGGTACAGGACATACGAAGTTCTGGGGCACAGGCTCCTGTTTTATATCTGCCCCAGAACAAGTAAGCAGGGCACAAACTGCCACTGCATCTGACAGTCCTCACAGCCTCGCAGGGCTCTTGCGGCCACGCTCGTCCAAGGCTGGTACCAAGCACATGTACTCACCACCAACTCCAGGGAAAGGAAGAACCAGTCTGATCCTCTCCCAGGACAGGTCACCTCCTGGGGCTAGATGGCCACTGTCCTGCCATGCAGCTTGTCAGCCACAACCAGCCACCGCAGAGAACCAACTCATTGTCTACCTCTGCCCATCTACACAGGCAGGGCCCTCCCAGCCTGACAACTCCAATTCCCGCATTTGGGGGAATTCCAGGCCGTTAAAAAATCCTTACACGACAGCTTCCAGCCTGGCAGAACTAATCATCACAAACTGCAGTGACACACACAGTGTGCTGCCTCTGCCCGATGAATGAGCATAAAGCACAGCAATTCTTGCTGGCCTTAGGCTTCTTGCTGATTGATTGTCCCTTCTTTAAAGCCACGAGGGACCAAGCAACAGCCAGAGAAGCCAACAATTTCTATCCCACTAGAATCTAACTAGAAATTGAGGGAAGTCGTGGTATGGGGGACAGGTACACCCCATCCTGGCCTCCAGCAGAGCCTACCTCGCACATCAGCTACTGCTGCTGCTAGGGACTCGCTGTCTGGCCTCCATGCTGGCTCTGAGCAGGTAGGCTGGGCACCCTGATGCCAGTCTCCAGCCCCAGGCAATCAGGGCTGGGCACCCTGATGCCAGTCTCCAGCCCCAGGCAATCAGGGCTGGTCCTGGGTCTCCAGAGTGGCAGATTATGGGAGTGAACTGCAGTCAGAAGCACCAGTGACTGTAGGCTGGTGCAACAGCTCGCAGCCTTCAAGCAAGCCTTACTGCTTGTGGACAGGGACCCGATGATCCACCCACATGAGGGAGCAGACTGACTGAAGGAATTAGCATGACCCTTCCCAGACCCCAGGAACAGCTCGTCAATGTGGAACGCTTGCCCAGGTCTGCTGGGGCTAGCTCCAGTGTTTGGCCTGCTCCCTTCTCCACCCAGCCCACAGGGCAGCCTTACCAGACATGCTTGCAACCTGGGGAACTCCAGGACCCGTGCCTCCTGGTCAGCTAATCTGCATTTGCAGTGCTCCTGAGTCAACAGCCCAGCTCACAGTAACCAGCCTGCACAAGCCTAGCATTCCAGTCAGACCAGAAGCCTCCCAAAACCTCCCAGGGCAGAAGTTGCATCACCCACCCATTCATCCATCTACCACCCAGCGTGGAGTTCTATCAGGACAAGCAGGTAAAGAGCCTGCCACAGCCCAGCCTTTGATAACCTCACTTGCAACACCACTGTGCAACAGCAGAGCCACCAGCTCCACACAGCACAAGCCAGTAATAAACCCACAGCTGAGAGGACCTCCCCGTGAGGAGAGAAGCCGTTTCACAAAGGCAGGGTGCCACCTCCCACCCGGGAAGAGCTGGCAACTGAACACTGGGCTGGAAGCCTCCACACACCCAGACACTTGCCACAGAAGCCCTGCCCCTCCCACAGGATCCAGACCCCCTACTCCAGCTGCAGGTTTGGTTACTGAGGAGTTACAGGTTCTTGCTTTGTGCTTACAGGGCACAGAGTTACTGCCCCATACCCTAGGAGAGTCAGACCACCATCTGCCAGAGCTTTCCAAGCTATTACCCTTTGAAATTCCTTGCGGGAATGCTCCCTCCTTCCCCACCCAGGCCCAGCAGAGAGGGGATAGCCCTGACACAGAAGACAGAGTGAGAACAGGCTGGGGCAGTTCAGCCTGTCTGGACTGTCCTTACTGCTAGTGCCATTTGTGTGGAGAATGGAGTGACACAAACCTGAGGAAACCACGGGAGGTGTCCCATTTCATCAAAACTCTGTTCATGAAGGGCTCTTCGGGCACTGTGGCAGATGAACCAATCCAGAACAAAAAAAGTATTTGACAAGCCACCATGAGGCAGCACATACAGTTACAAGACCCTGATCAGTGTTTACAATACCAGAGCAACTAGCAACAGACTCCGACCAGCAGTGACGTATGTCAAGTGTTTGCAGCCTGCTGCCCACTGCAGTGCTCAGTGTAAAGCTCCATGCCACGCTCCCAGGAAGATCCCATCACCCTCAGCCCCTGCACGGAGAGGGGAGGACTCTGCAAAACACTGATTCCCTGGCTCAGATGCCCACAGCTCTGCTGCAGTGCATTCACATTCCTGAAGCAAGGGG